ATGTCAAATTTAAAAAATATTTTTGCTGAATACAGACGATTGCGAAGATCTTTCTTATTTGGAATCGGATACCGAATCCATTGAAGTGCTTGATCGAGAGGTTTGTAATTGGTAACTAACCGTCGAGTTCCACGCTCAATTTCAGATTGCTTATTGACATAGAAGGCAAAACAAGACCAAGGACTCTTGCTCTTCCTGATGAGACCCTTAGCAAAGAGATCAGCAATTTCTTTTTGACAAAAGGCAAGAAATTCACCTCTCATTTGAATTGGACGAGCTTTGGTTGGGATTTGCCTTTCATTAAAATCTTTTTCGTAGGGAAGATCTACTATATGTTTTTTTCTTTGCCAAAAAGCATTCGGAAGATCAAAACAGATTGTATTCTGGATTTGTTCAAGCAAGACTTTGATTTTTTGTTGAACTTCAGGCTGCTTTAATTGATTTTCAATATTCTTAAAAGAAATTTCTTCTTTAGGGAAATTGATTTGCTTTTGTTTGTAATGGATAAAATTCAAATCTCTTAAGATAAGTTTTTTAAGAAATTTGAAAAGAATTGGTTTATCCAAGTGATAAGTAATTATACCTTCATCTGTGATAGTTAAAGGAAAGAGAGATTTGATAAACAGAGTTCCAAGAATAACTCCATCTTTAAGATTTTTAACAAGGAGAAACGGTGTTTCAACTTTTAAATTGTCATTTTCTATGATTGCTTTAGGAAGTTTGTAATTAACTTGAAGTTTTGAACCACTAGCAGTACTAAGCCGTTCAGAAGTTTTTCAAAATATTTAGTAGGAATTAGACCTTCTTGAATGCAGTTTGAATCGGCCTCTGTGAGCTTCAATTTCAAGGTCAAAGTTACCTACGTTAAGTTTTATTGGGATGTAGAATTTTTGAATTGTTAATTGATTAATTAAACCTAAAAATTCTTCATCTTTAAGATTTTTATCTTCATCTTGTTTAGAAAGAGTATTTTCCGTACTCGTTCCAGTTAATTCTTCATTTTGTAATTAAAGAAGGTTGTTATGATGAGTTTGTTGTTGTTCCTTGATTTGTTTAACTTTAGTTTTGAGAAGATTGATCTCATGCTGAAGATCTTGAACAGTTATTGGTTTGACAGTAATACTCTTTTCAAGTTTTTTAAGAGTATCTTTAAGATTAAATTTATTAGGAACCAATAATTCTTTAGATCTAGAGGAACTGGTTTCTAAAGAAGATTTTAACGTAGCTAAGTAAGCTTTCTTTTCTTCAGGATCAATGATTGAATCTATGACTTCAAACAAGAGATCTTGTTCTTAATTAAGGACATTAATATCCTGCGAGGATTGTGAATCCTCACTAGAAGATAAATCATCTTCTTGAATTTGATTTAAGTCTTCAGAAGATTCCTTTTCAGATTCCTCATCTGAAGTTTGAATTAAAAGGTTATTGATTTGTTCTTCAATAGATGGATCTAAGTTTAAATTATTTAATTTCTTCTTAAGCCTACAATATTTACTAATATGACCAGGTTTACCACAGCTATAACAAATTGTTGGCTTAATTGATTTGGATGTATATATATATGAGAAATCATACTCTTATATTGCATGCGATTGATCTCTCATGTTACTCTCACTTCAAAAAATGTGCTTCTCTTTTCTCTTTTTTCTGAAAATTGGCGGGGTCCACTTTATTTGTCTCTTAACATGAGAGAACTTCTCTCATACTACATGAGAGAAGTAATCTCCTATATATATATACATAAGGATCCTTTGACACTGGTGTCAAATTTTTTAGTTTGACATCAAATCTTATCTATTGATTTTAATGAATCTAACGATTTTAATTTATTGGGTCATACATATTATTTAATTATTAATTTTCTATAAATTATAATCGTTAGATTGACTAAATCAACGATTAAGATTTGATATTAAATTTTTTAATTCGACACCGATACCGAAATGATCCTATCTTTCTTTCTTTCTCCCTCTCTCTCTATATATATATATATATATATATATATATATATATATATTTTAAACAATTTAAAATATATAGTATCATGAAATAAAAAATACAATAACTATTTTAAACAATTTATTATATATATTTATTTTTGTTGGTAAAGAAGAGTTTATTATATTTTAAAATATTCTAAGATACAATTAAAGATATTTTTCATATATTTTAATAATAAAATTTTGTTGAAATCAAATTTTAAAGCTTTTTCAATAATGAAACTAAACTATTTTTTTTTTCAAATGTTGCTATAATTACATTATTTTATAATTGATAGCTTAAATTGGAAGTTCATTCATAGAGTGCTTGATGAAATTCAGATTCCTGATAGACTTTCAAAACTGATCATGGCAGCTGTCACATCTCCAAAAACCAACATTATTTGGAATGGTAAGTTAATAGAGGAATTCCAACCAAGCAGAGGCGTCAGACAAGGAGACCCGATCTCTCCTTACTTGTTTGTCTTGGCAATGGAGAAGCTTTCTCATATCATTGATACAGCAGTGAATGAGAATCTTTGGAAGCCAACAAGAGCTGGTAAGGGTGGACCCAAAATATCTCACCTCCTATTTGCAGATGATTTGATGCTTTTTCTAGAAGCCAGTGAGGATCAGCTTAATATCCTTTTCAGATGTTTGAATTTGTTTGGAGACATTTCTGGGCAAAAGGTGAATGTTCAAAAATATTCTATTTATTTCTAAAAGAACACTCCAGATGAGTTAGCTACTAAAATCACAGAACAGAGTGGATTTAAAAGAGTAACAAATATAGGAAGATATCTTGGAGCAATGATACATCATGGTAGAGTTACTAAAAATTTATTTGCTAGTATAGTTGAGAGAGTTAAAGAAAGATTATCTAGCTGGCAATCCAGTCTCTCTCTCAGGCGGGCAGAGTGATTCTTTCTCAATCTGTGTTGTCTACTATGCCGTATTACTTCATGCAAAGCATATGATTCCTAAAGCTGGTTGGGACACAATTATATGGGGTGATACAGAAAGGAAGAAACATATGCATCTTATTGGTTGGGACACAATTATAAGACCAAAAGCAGATGAAGGGCTGGGTTTGAGGAATTACAAGTCATGAATGAAGCTTTCTTGGGAAAACTAGTTTGGAATTTTGTTAATGATCCTGATCAGCTTTGGGTGAAGGTATTAAAAGCTAAGTACACAAATTCATCCAATACTCAGACTGATTTATCTTGGAAGAATGGAAATTCTCGTCTTTGGAAATTTATGTGTGATGTTTGGAATAAGCTTAAACCCAAGCTGGTTTGGGATGTGGGTGATGGATCTTCTGTTCTTTTTTGGGAGAACCATTGGGTGAACATTGGGGAAAAACTTCCAAACAAAGCTATTGCTCAAATTTCCCCAACAGAGACTGGTAAGAGAGTAATTGATTATGTTACTCATGATGGAACTTGAGATTGTGTTCAAATTATTAGAAGCATGCTGCCTCCTCATGAATCTAATGGTATGGACAGAAAATGGGGGAATTTAGTTGGATCAGATGAAGTTTCTGAGAAAAATATTTATTTTACATTGCTAAATCAAAATAGTTCTAATGGTATTGACATAAAATTCTGGTCAGCCATTTGGAACTTAAAAAGGCCCAATCGGATAAGTTTGTTCCTTTGGAAGACTTCTCATCATCGTCTATCAACTAGGAGCTTCCTGGAAAACTTTAGATTGTGTCCTCCTAGCTGTCCTATTTGTAATTTGCATGAGGAATCCATTATTCATATGGCAAGTGACTGTCTAAAGATTAAAAAAGTTTGGTCTGATCTTTTGAAGCCAATTTTGATAAATGATTTCTTTGATACTGATTTAGATTCTTGGCTTTCCTTGAATATTCAAAATGTATCTATTTTGTGCTTTGATGCCCCTTGGTCGTTGGTTTTTGCTGTTACTGTTTGGTTAGCTTGGCAGTGGAGAAACAATCAGGTGCATGGTGTGTAAAATAACGAGAAAGCATACAAGGTGCAATCCGTAGAGAGTCTGGTTCGTGAGTATACACAAGCCTGGATAACTTCTAAGGGGACAAAGCTGAACAAGAATTACGCTTTTGTTCCTATTAGACGGTTACCTTCGGACACAGGTTGGGTGAAATTAAACACGGATGGTGCAGCCAGGAGTGATGTCAGGGGAGCTGCTTGTGGAGGAATTATAAGAGATGAAAATGGTTATTGGATAGAAGGGTTTGCTTACTATATTGGCCATTGTTCAGCTTTTGTTGCAGAATTATGGGGCGTCCTCAAGGGTCTCGAATTTGTTTGAGCTAGAGGTTGGAGACGCTGCATCCTAGAAAGTGATTCAAGCTCAGTTATCATTTTGCTTTCCAGCAGTGGAAGAACAGCTCGAGATTCTCGCTTAGTGACTCGAATTCGAGCATGGTTACAAAAGAATCGGGAAGTTCAACTGGTTCATATTTTTAAAGAAGGAAATAGTTGTGCAGATTGACTTTCTAAATATCCTTTAGACTATCAAGTTGAGAATAATATTTGTGTTTTTTCAAACCCTCCCCCTGGTATTTGACCTTTGTATTGGGCTGATTTGTCTTTGTCTTGTAATTTCAGAACGATTTTATTGAATTGATCTCTTTGGAATATTGTTGTTAACCCCCTTAGATTACAAAAAAAAATAAATTAAAAACATTCAAACCAATGAGAGACCACGGAAAACTGTATTGAACCAAAATTTATTGGATCCCTAAACCTAACCCATAAGTTTAATCGAATCGGGTTGGGTCGGTAAACCTGACCCTTACCCGCTGAACACCCTGGGCCTGGAATACTGTGTGCACTGTGCACCGTTGGTGAGAGTTCTAGGGTTTTGGTACGTCTATATAATTGTCTATGTCCTTTTGTTGTTCTTATACCAGCAGCAATTAGGTTTTAGCTGCAGCGATTAGGGTTTAGCCACAGTAATTATAAATCTTCACATTCCTTCGAAATTATTCTGCAGCGTTCAAATTATCTTTGATTTTGGTCGAATTCTCCGCACGATGCCTCCCGGGCTTCTCTGAGATTCATTCCCATGACGCGAAAGCCCCAATGCACGTGCCAAATTGCTGCTGTTCGTGTTGCAGTTCAGCCCCTAAATTCCTTCATGGCTGATCTGTGTCAAAACAACGGCGAAATCTATGACTCATGTTTTAATTTCATTTTTTGTTGTGGAAAAAAGATAAATTTTGCTTTTCTATTCAAATCTATTTCAATTTTAATTGATGTTAGTTTTGTTTTTATAGTCTCGATTTTGGTATAATAATTGGCTGTGAGGATATCTATTCAGCTTCTAATGCCAGTTCTGCTTCTGAAAAATCATGACTGATAGAGCTGTTTCATTTTCTGAGTCTCAAATAATGTATGTTTGAAACTGTTTTTCTTCTTCTTTTTTGTGATTATTTGTTGTAGAAAATTTTGTATTATTCTTAACTGCTGAGATTTCTTTAACGAGATTTTGTAGTTTGGTGTTCATAAGGTTGCCGGTGATGACTTAATCCAACTTGTTTGAGGTGTTGTGGAACCAAGTCCCTGTTTTCAGGGTGAACCTCTTGGTGAAACTTCATTCATATGATATCAATGGATTTTACTGAGGCTTTTATACCATGACAAAGTAGTTTAAAGCTGTTTCACATTCTGTGCCTCTGAATAATGCTGTGTCAAAATGTTTTTTTTTTCTTGTGATTTTTATCCGTTGTTTTTGTTGAAATAATCGATTGTTTTTAATTGCCTACGGTTCTTTAGTAATTTGTTGTTCATAAGGTTGCCGGTGATGATTTAATCCAATTTGTTTGAGGTGTTGTGGAACCAAGTCCCTGTTTTCAGGGTGAACCTCTTGGTGAAGCTTCATTCATATGATAAAAGTGGATTTTACTGAGACTTTACTCTATGAAAAAGTGTATTATTTCTATTCGTTCAATCTTCCGATATACTTGAATTAATTAGAAAAATCTGTTATTTTTTTTTCCAATTATTTTATGATTAATTTTGTCTTCCTATTACATTACGTATGTTTTATGAGTGATTCATTTTCCTCTCAAACGCATGGCCTTGTAAAGTTACCAAATTATGTTTCAACCGAACTTGTTTGAGGTTGTTGTTTACTCTGTCTTCAGGGAGAAAAATCCTTGGTGTTACTACATTCCTAGTGACAGCAATTGTTGATCCGAGGTTCTCTAGTATTTAGGATAGTTCGCCTGTTTGCTGTGTGCTGAACCCCGGAATTTGTTGTGGTTTAGTTAGATGTTGTAGTAATGAACAATTTGATTTGATCCAATTTTTGATGAGTTTAACTATACCCAGTTCCTTATTCATTGGGTGTTCAGGGTCCTTAAAACTCAAAGATTTTGTGTTGTCATCAGCTTCATCTCTTGTTTGACCACGAGATAGGAGTTAAATAACAGCACTACATTGATTTTACTATTTTTATTAAAACTGTGGAGGGTCTTTTGTTTTTTGCATCATTTAGTGTGCTATATTTAATAAGTTCCCGTTTTTCTAATTCTCATTTAATTAGTGTCGGGTTGTCATATTAGCATTTTGATATGTATTTGTTTGACCTATTGTTGCTGTTGTATCCGAGGCTTCTATTGTTGTGCACTCTTCTTCATAATCCTTTTTTGGTTGCAGATACTGAATGTGGAGGCATATTATTGGATTTTAAAGGAAGTGCTTCTGGTAGATACGCAGACCCTGAAGGATATTTTTTTTTCTTAATTGTAAATTGTAAATAAATACTATTCCAAGCTTATTAAAATGCAATTCAAAATTTGAATTGCTAAGATGATTTTTGGAATTGTGTATTACACAATGAAAGAGTTTGAATTATACTAAGATTCAAAGACACATTGAAAAACAGCTTGAAGTATGTTGTATAAATGTAATAATTTTAAACTAGGAATTAACAAATCTTTTAATCATAACTATTATAATTCGTAAGTCTTAACTGAGTCATGTAAAATGACTTATGTGAAGCTTATGTTTCAAAAGAACGAACAAAAAGCAATGATATAACTAAATATGATGTATGTAGAGTGAACAAGAACAAGAGACTGAAATTTGTGTGAAACTTCAGTACCAGCAGAATGAGAAAGAGCCACAAAATAGCAAACTATGATGCATAGAGTAAATGTGTGAAACTTCTGTTTCAAAAGATTGAAAAAGAGCAATAAAATATGTAAATGTGTGAAACTTCTGCTTCAAAAGAACGAATAGGAGCAATAAAATAGCCAAATATGATGCATAATGTTCCCGTGTGTATGAATGAAAACATTAAAAATATGGGAATGGATATTCTCACGAAGGAAATTGTGGTGATGTTATTTAATCACAACCACTCGTTGATGACGAGATAAGAGAGAGAAAAGTGTGTAATTTTTAAATGAGTGGTTGTGATCAAATAACATTATCAATGAGAGGATCTAAATCCTTAAAAACATACATCTTGTTGAGTTCCTTTATAGTTTTTCTATGAGAATTAATAAAATCAAAGTAAAAAAGAAAAGAAATTGATAATTCATTAAATTAAAGTATTCCGTGTGATGATATTATTATAATTATGCGCTTTAAAGAATATATAGTTATGATATTTTTTTTTTCTCTCTTCATGTCAACTAATAAGTTTCTAAAAAGAGAAAATAAATGGTTTCTATGATGGTGAAGAAATAAATGGTTAGACCCAAAAGTGATGCTTGTCTAATGAATACAGATAAAATCCAACAAAAAATAAAATAAAAAATACATATAAACAAATCAGAAAGTGTAACTTAAGAACACTCTAGCATCTAAAGTACGAGCTCAATTTTAATACTCCCTTACTATGTGCTTCCTCACAATAAAACAAGTGTTGAATACAGTTTGTTTTTTTTTTTCTGACATGTTACCGTAGCAGCATTAATTCTTGATTTTTATTGGAGGGATGTTTGAAAAATTTGGTTGGACGGGAGCATTGAAGAAATTTCCGCAAAGTACATTAATTGCCTCGTGTAATGTCTGCTACATAGACAGTTACAACTTGTTTTTAAGTATGTCATTCTTTTTTTCATTTAGAACATGATATATATTTATCAGCTTCATATCATATTTTATCGTTATCTAACTCTTTTATCATATCCATTCTTATCTTATCCTGTATGAGCCCGGCATATTTGAAATATATTTCAGTTTTACTTTTGTTAGAGTTGAAAACCAAACCTTGTAATTTATACTAGTAATGTTCCATACAGAAGAAGAGAACTAAATCATCAAGCTTTTGGTGAAAGATTATACTGTGTCCATAAAGTATCAACTATTAAATTAACATTAACATGACCTTTATTTCGTGTATCAATTATCAATTTATGTACAGTAATCGCATGGAAAGGGTTAGTATTTTGTGGCTTCTTTATTTCTTTTGTCACAACTATTGAAGTGCTCATTATTTTAACCGATCACAATCTGCCGAACTTGCTGCATGTCATTATCTATAAAAATCAAGTGAATTACCCATAACATCTCGGGATGGGTTGGAATTAATATGGGAATTGAGTCTTAAGAGAGTGATAAGCTTCTAATAGATCTGGGGTCTTCTTTTTTTTTTTTTTTTGTTTGTTTCTATTCATTTGGATGAGACAAATCTCTATCATATGTAGAGTGTGAAGATTTTTATCACTTGCCCCAAGTTGTTTTGCCTAGGATTCGAATGAGAGATCTTTCAATCTCAACAGTTTACTCTTTGGATACAATTCACTTACCAATTGTGTCACCCCTTGGAGTTAGACCAATTTTTTGTTAAGTGGTATTTTACCTAATTTTCTAGAGATGATAATATTTGCGCAGGAAATAAATGAATATTTTGTGATCTTAGAGGATTATTTCTAAATTTATATATTTTTTTATAAAAGTATATATTTAAGAAATTAAGATTATAAAATATGTATATTTAATTTAAATTACATATTAAATATAAATTAAAAGGGAAAAAACATTAAAACTATAAAAAGATGTGCAAGTTTATTCTTAAAATTTTGAGTTTAAAATAAATAAAAAATAAAAAATCAGAATGATACCTCTTAATTTTTTTTAAAGAAGAGTAAATTAAACCATTTGGTCACTTTTAATAGAGTATACTCTAATTTAATAAACTGAGATAAATCATTTAAAAATATTTTACACTTGACACAACTATTATATGCAAAATCTTATTTAAAAATTTGAAATTTAATTAAATAGATAGAGGAAGGTTATACTTACGACCTTTATTTTTTAAAATCTTTTACAACCATATTTTAACACCGTTGATTTCCTCCAATCAATGATTATCATTTATTATGAATTAATAATTAATTAATAAATTTAATTTACAAAAATTATAACCGTAAGATATGATTGTAAAAAGTTGTAAAATAAAAAATTTCGTAAGTAAAACCTACTTCAAATAGATATATAAGAAGTTGATTAAGCAAAACAAATAACTTTAAAACTTGTCTCACTTTCACAGATAGAGTCAAATTTATTACACACGAGTGATTTACTAAATAATGAGATCTTAAAAACAACATCCTCACCCAAACCCGTTGGCTCGTATGAAAGTGCTCTCGAGTTCGAGCCCTGGGTTTGGAAAAAACGGATTGGGTAATGCTACCCCCGCAATGGACCGACAATGCACGGTTGTGATTAGTCTCACTCCAAAGGGGTGGGGATATCCTTGAGTACACTCAAAAAAAAAAAAAAAACATCCTCCCTCCGCCACCGTCCTCCGGCGATGGCCCAAGCTCCTCGCCGTTTGAAACGCCACCGGACGCGAAATCATTCATAAGAAGAACGTGGTTGTTTCGCAATGGTTGTTTCGGTTCATTTGGGCGAAGAAAGAACGTTTTGAGTTGGACCAACGGTAAGTAACTGTCTCTGGCGCCTATTTATTTAATTCCCATTCCGACAAATCTTTTCACATTTTCAACGAACTCTCTCTCTGTCTCTCTGTGAAATTCAGAGCAACGCATTCTCTTCATAGTTAGTGGCGGTGCTTTCTCTTTTGGAGGCGCCGCTACTAAAACTTACTTGAAGATTATAATAATAATATCTAGAGTTTGTGTTGTGTGTGATTAATGCTGCAAATGCATGCATGGCTGATCCAAGGTTCAATGTTCCTTTTCATGAGTCATCATTTGACGCTCCACCTTCCCCAAACTTTTTCGATTTCGATTTGTCCAATACTTCACTGCCCCAATTACAACAAACTCATCAACATGATGGATTTCAACAGGGTGGTAGTAATAATGATGATGATCATCATAACTATTCTGAATTTGATCCAATGATTCAAGATCACACTGTTCACAATAGTAGTTTCCACTATGGTGGAGGAGGAGGGAACTTTGAAGCGGGTGGTTCATCATCACAAATGCATGGGGTTGGGGTTCAAAGTCAACATGCAAATGAGAATTTAGGAGGGGGTTCACAGATTCCTAACAATCAAGTGCTCACACTTGAGTATTGGCCCGTGCCACCAGCCCCATTTTTTTGTAGTTGCTGTCATGTTCTTAGAGAAATTGTTCATACTAATGGTTGGTTATAGCTTTTTAACACTGTCAACAAAATTTTAATCATTTAATACCCCACCATTCTGTTGTTTTGCTTTTCTTTCTCTTATTCTTTGATTTGATGTATATTTGAATGCTATGTAGGTATTAAGTTCGAAAAGCTTGAGATTCACGGAAGGCTCGGGATTATTAGCCATGTAATTCACCATAAGAATATCAGCAGGGGTTCTTCAAGCAACCCTCAATATGAAATGATTGAGTACGTTCTCTAGTTCTTGATACTACTTTTGTTTTTTGTGGTGATTTGCTTTTGAATTACTATAAAAACCATTTCTGGCTTAAGAGATGTGCTTTTATTTGCCTGTCATTTGATGATGTCTTCGACTTGTCGAAAACAAAGTTTTATTTTAATAAACTTTGGGAATTACTTTTCTCATGTTACATAAACAAAATATTATCTCCTACACTCACATTTCTCAAATGGGTCCCACAAGATTTTTTCTCTCTCACCTTTAACTTTTTTCTATCTCCTACTTTTTGTTTGAACGTGAGATAGTACTTCTCTTATACAACATAAGAGAAGTATTACCCATAAACTTTTATGCATCTGAATAAAATTCTTGGATTCAAAGGTGTTAGGCGTTGGGCTCTCCACTAGCATTCTCAAACTTCTTACTTTTTCTTTTTGGTGTTTTATCAGTTTTTCCCAGAGAAACATTGAAGAAGTGAAGCAATTCCTAATCCAGTATTGTATGGGGCAAAGTTCAGCAGGCTACTTTATTATGCAAGATCCGATGTCTGTCTATTATGATGCCCTCTGCACTGGACTGGATTGGACGGAAGATATAAATGATGACTTTGTTGATTTGAATCCAACAGGTTGGTTTTCATCTCTTTGTCATGGTTTTTTTTTTTTCTTCAATTACCATTATAAGAATTTCATTCTTCAATAGAGCCTGCATTGTGGTATTTATGTGACTCACAAAGGAAACAAGGAAAAAACAAAAAACTTTTGTATGATGGGTTTATCATCAATATCATTTTTTTCTTTTGTTCTGTTATGGTGGTATTTTTATTCATATTCAGAATATTATGCTTAGTCTCAATTGTTATGTTTGTAGCATCAATTGCTGATGACACGGAACAAGAAGCTGACAATGAAAGGGCTGCTAAATTACCCATATCAGCACAGGTTATACTTTTTGTTTTCTTCTTTCTCTCCACTCTATTTGCTGCTTCAATCTATTTATCTTTGAAATCTTAAAATTTCAGAAGTCAAAATGATATATAATGTAAATTCAAGAAGTGTTGAGTGTTTTGATATTTTTTTTTTTTCTGGCAAATATTATAATTTTGACTCGTTATCTTATTGTATTGTGTGCACATTGCACAGAGGGAGAGAGCCGCAAAGATGCAATTGAGTGATTTAAGCGATTACTTTCATCTACCTATTGATGAAGCAGCAAGGAAAGTGAATTTATCTGCCACTGTTGTGAAGAAAATTTGCCGTAAGGCAGGATTAGCACGATGGCCTCACAGAAAGGTTCAGTGCTGAAAACTTTTTTTGTTTTTTTTGCTTTTTGATTTTGCTATGAATCTACCCTTTGCTGATTCATGTTTCATGTGTCTCCCAACATGAGCACAGGTCAAAAGCGTTTGGAAGCAAATCACAATACTCAGAAGAACAATATTAGAATCAGAAGATGAAGAGTCAAGGGAAAACACTCAAGCGGAAATTAACAGACTTGAACTAGATATGATCCAGCATTGTGGTGGAATTGCACCAACTGCATTAAATCTTGAAAACTTGGACATATAGATTGTTATGGAGAGGAGGCTAACCTTATTCTTTTAATTAGTTTATAACTTTATTTTTGTACCGTAAGTCTTTTGTAACCTATAGAATATTGATATTACTTACTCCATTTTTTGTTAGACTTTCTTTGTTGTTTACATTTGAGTTAGGCTTTGTGGGTGGTGATGATGTTCATTTTGTAATTTTTTTGTAACTGCTACTTTTAGACATATATGGGTGGTGATGATGTGGATATTGTTATTTTTTTGCAACTGATACTTCTAGACATATATTTTGGTTAGTCTGATATTGTATTTTGTTTCATGTGCATAGAAGTGGCAAGAAACCATTAGCCCATTCAAACTTTGACCATTTGTCAGTTTATTTAACAAATAAATCATTAGCTGCTGGAGACAAAAGGAAGCAGTTAAGAGTTCAATCTCAAATTCTCTCTATCCGAAAGTATCATCTAATGAGTAGCTAAAATTTATTTTGGAATGAGTTATATAAACACTTGCCCTGCTACTTTCATTTTGAGAGGCACATCATTATGATTATGCATTGCAAGTTGCAACGGTCACGATGGCTTTCCATTGGTATAGGATTAAAAGCAATCATCGGCTCAGTTTGGTTATTGCAAGTGATTATGGACTGCAAGTTAATAATTCATGACTCAAATGGTTTGTGGCTGAATGATTATTGTTCCTCTCACTTTTTCTGTGCATATTGAAATCATATGCAAATATGGATGATACAATCAATCGCACAGAATGAATACAAAATATTTCAAAACATTTTATTTTTTTTAGAGTTTCGATGTGAGAGAAAAATCACAGAGAAGTCTTTTTTATCTGATTTCCTTCCATACTTGTAAACCATGACTGATCATGATGAATCATGCATATCGGCGGTGAAGAGTCATGCCTGTTCGACGGTGAAAAATCATATATGTTCACCCGTGAATAGTTATGTCTGTTCAACTGTCAAAAGACACATCTCTTTACACCCAACTTCTTATTCATAACATTTGAATTTTATAAGAATTCCAACAGTTTCGTGCAATGAAAAGCATCATTTAATTGTTGCAAGTGATGAGCTTTGATGAGCATGTTGGAATGGGTAGTTTTTAGTGAGTTGTTCATTTTGGCTTTGAGTGCAGAGTTGTACAGAACGAGTTGTGTAATTTTTCCAATTATTCCATCTAGTGTTCTGCACAGCTTCTGTTAATTTGGTGAAACTCTGCCTCAAGAATCTCACATTTCTCTTCTCTCAGTTTTGGGACAGTGTACAAAAATAGTTGTGAAATTGTTTCTCTCAATTATTTCTTGTTAGAATCGCTACCAGGTGAATAGCAATCATGGCATTCTTTGATCGGATCAGGACTAATGATTTTACTCTCTTCAATTGAGTTCTTTTTAGGGTAATGAGTTGTGAAATTGTTCCAAGTATTTCATCCTTGTTCTACGTAGTATCCCAGCACCTAACTTCGTGACCTCTGCTGGATTCAGTATACTCAAATTTTCTCATTTTTTGATTTTATACATTCTCAACTGGCGTGTACGAAATGAGTTGTGAAATTGTTCTCAATTATTTTATCTGAGTCTTAGGATAATTTGGTAATTTACCACATCTATTCTCTTTTTTGGATTTTAGACATTCTCAATTGATGTTAGACATTCATTACTTACTTGTCTATGATTTGCAACCGCTTGAAAGTGCATATTGGCATATTGAAATAGGAAGAAAAGTTGTGTCTTATCCTAGTGTATTGTGTCTGGTCATAAAGGAACAGGAAAATGGGTGCGCAAGAGCAAGCAAGAAAAAAATGAAATAAAGAATATACCAGGTGCCCAAACTGTGTGATCCAGTATCTTCTGATAAGAATCTAGGGAAAATAGACAGTGTTAGCACATATATAAGGAACAAATCAAGTGCATAATCAATGTTTTCCAACACCAATTGCATGTTTCCTTTGCGCTCTATTTGTTTTGCATCATCCTCAACCTGGAAAAATCATAATCATAAGCATAGAGAAACAGTTTTGGATCCTTCGGATGCTGCGTTTAAACGGTAGTACTCCACTTTTGGTAATTTTGGAAAGACATAGGCATAGAGAAGAACGCAAAGAAGCTCAAAGAATGTTGATATAGCAAAGAACAGAACTGCAGGTGCAGTATAATGATAAGTGATTAGTAACTAAATTGTATGAGTCTGTACAACACTCATAATTGTATATAGTTCAATGACAGTAAACAAGAACTGGAACAACTTGTGAGGTATTAAAAAGGGCAAACCCCAATGCACATGGCTCCTCAACTTGCGAGGATAGGAATGAATGAGTCGATTATATCCATCCTTATTCTTATATTTCAGCAAAGAGTCTGTTTGCAAAACTCGAACTGTGACCTTCCCATAAAAAAAAACAACTCACCTTCTAAGAGTGTGAGTTAACATGATACTGAAAGAATTAATTCCACAATGTTATAGGAACTACAATCCAATTTCATTTATATTGCAAGGAAAACAGCCATAATCTTCAATAAGACACATAATCATGAATATCTTCATGAATTGTGGGAAAATAGAGTTGAAAAATCTAGTTTCAAACTTATTCCTGACAAAATTGACAGAACACAAATAGAGCCAAGTAATACTAGTATAGAAGCTAAAATTGTTTCCATATTAACCAGTAATTCAGATAAACTCTGAATTATCAGATGCTTCAATGTTAAGCACTGGAGAGTTGAACTTACTAGCTCCTTTGCGAAGACCATTGATACGAACCGACCCAAAAATACAAGCTTACAACGATCAACAAAGGAAACAATTGTCTGAATATTCAACTCTAAATATATTTAACAGTGACAATTACAAACAGAGACACTTGCAGAAAAAAGAAGATTACAATGAAACCAAATGGAAATTAACAATGCCCAGAAAATTAAAGGATAGGTGTGAGACAGTTGGAGAGGTCTCACTCTCCCAAGTTCCATTCCCAACAATATTCCAGATCCTTCTCACGTCCTTGCCCTCCACTATTTATTCAGCATTTCCCTCCATTTCTTGCTAACAGTTGTCTGTTTTTAGTCACACCTAACAACCCATATGCTGACTCAACTCAATGGCTTTCCCTAAAGTGCCCTTAAGGGTGGTATCGTATCAACCATCCTCAGAATTCTCAAATGCTGCTTTTGTAATTAACCTCAAAGCAGATGTTAGTGCACCCGATGCTGCTAAACCAGCAAGGAAAGACTGCAGCAATAAAACCATACAAAATAAATGCATATGTAGAAGGAATTATCTAAAACTTCATGGTAATTCAAAAGCTGATTCTGACCTGCATGAATTCCGTCTTGTGCATTAGCATCTGCTATTCCAAATGCACCACTAATTGTGCATATACCAATGAAAGTTCCAAGGCCTCCTTTACCAGATGTTGCTCAATCCAACTATGGCAGATTAATAGGTAAAAACAAAACCAAAAGTCAAAACCACATCATCCTAAAGGAATCAAATTTTACAAACAAGTGAACAGAACTTACAACCAACACCAACAAAGTGCTTATGATATACAAGAGTAAGCACCCTAGAAAGGTGGTATTTCTGCACAAGGAGAAAAGGAAATTAAAAAATTTCCGTGCGAAGGAAATCCTGTTATATAAGTTACAACAATAACAACATCTGAGAACCACAAAATTGAAGATGCATATGGACTAAAATAAATAAATATGATCCTTAGAATATGTATGTACTAGAGTGTAAGAAGATCTAGCAAGGGGCGAACCGGAGCAGTGGTAAAACTGTTCCTTCATGACTGAAAGGTCATGAGTTCGAATCCAGGAAACAGCCTCTTTGCCCTTATGCAAAGGTAAGGCTGCGTACAAGGATTTCCTCCCCCCCACACTCGCTAGTCGGGTTTAATGAGGAGTGGTTTTTTGGTTTAATACTGAAATTTATTGTTCAGAAGGTTTAGTAATTTCAAATTCACAAACTGACTTGTAAGTAATGGTACTACACCAGAGGAATGAATGAGTAGCCAAATCAACTGAAGAATGCATCAGAATGTATATAATTACCTGAAACAAGTGAACATAGTAATCTTCTATTGTTAGTATACTGTTCCACGCAAAAGACACCCATTCCAAAGAAGCGAGCAATAGCATACCACTATTGCAGCATTTTTTCCCTGTTAATGGCAAAGAAAGGAAATGAAGTAATAATGAACGTTTATGTTCCTGAATTAAAGTAAAAACCAGTGACAATTAAGAACACAAACCTCAAGACGCGTTGGAGGTTCACTGTTACCATTGCTGCCTTAGATGCTTAATTCTCTTTAATCAAGCTCTACAAGAAGGTAGCAAAACCTTAGCCAAGGGCTTAATGTGACAGAATAGCATCTATGACTTCAATTTGTATATTAACAACGGGTAACCCTGCCATGCACCGTTCAAGTAATTAATTCACACCACACACATAAAAGGAAAGAAAAGAACAATAAAAAGAAAATACAATAAGTGACGTCATGATAATTTTGACCCTAGTATATTAATAAAATTGTCTACCATATTCATGATAATTCACCACTATAATAATAAATTCTTGCACGACCCAGGAAACGAAACTAGCAATAAATCATTCATTTAGGCAATACAATATGCACCTACATACGCCCTAGCAAGTGATATTATGAACCCACAAAAATCTTAACTTGTGCTAAGCGATAACCTTTTTATGGAAAACCCACTTGAGAAAAATTCAAATATATTCAATCACAGAAGTAGAGAAGCCAATAAGATAAGAATGCAGGAGAGATAAGAAGAAACAGAGAAATCAAAAAGATAAGAAAGCAAAAACCAAAAGAAGACTTCCTTTTTTTCAATGGGTTAGGCGCGTTTCCTTCACGCGCGCGAAAGTTTTATTTCTGGTAGGGTTTTTTCTTCGTTGATTTTTGCTGGTGCCATGGGAGATCCGATGGAGATTAGGAACGAGACTTTGTCCATGATAAGACGAAGTACTAAGCGTAC